CCCTACACGACGCTCTTCCGATCTCCCCAAAACCCCAAAACCCCAGTATGTTTAAATAGAAAAAATAGTAAAAAACTAAATATTTTAATAATAATTTGATTAAGAAGTAGTTTATTTGGTTTACGATATTATAATCACTGATATTACTTTCCTTAAAGTCTAAGAATTGCTTTGACTGAAAGATCATATCCTTTGCAAATGGCCAATCTAACATAATTGTCTGTCTTATATAAGGAATCTTTGTAATAGAAAAGAGAGTTTGGCATCATCATTACTTTTCTTTCAACAACCATCCATCTACAAAATGCTAAATCATTTGGAATTCTGCCATCAGGCATAAATAAACCCTCTTATAGGTCCTCAAAATCATGAGATTCTGTGTATCTCTTAGGAATCTGAGGAATTACTTCAGTAATGTCAACCATAATAAAATAGCCACTATCGCATTTCAAAGCCTTGATAGGCAAATCCATATTTTCATTGATTTCTTTGACCATGTAATCTCTAACTCGTTGGAATTCAGATCTTACATATTCAAGATAAGTCTAGTCATCATTACCCAAGAATCCTTTTTATGTCAACTTTTCTAATGATTTTGACATGGCTATTTAAGCTGGAGAGTTGGTACCTTATACAAGAGTATTTAGAACTGTAGCAACAGCTTTGACAAGATAGCTAGGTCCAAGAGCCCAACCAACTTTCCAACCTGTAGCGTTGAATAGCTTTCCACCACTAAATACTGAAATAGTCTTATTAAAGTTGTCATCGATTGTAGCAAAATGAATGAATTCGCTGCCATCAAAGGTCAAGTATTCATAGACTTCATCTGATAAGATAATTATGTTTGGGAAATCTTTTAAGATATCAGAGATCTATTAATATTCTTCCCTCGAAAAAAGCTTTCCAGTTGGATTTTAAGCATTATTAAGCAATAGAATTTTTGATTTTTGATTTAAAGCTTTTCTAAATTCCTCAGGATCAAATCTCCAAACCCCATCAACAAGTTTGAATGGGACAGATCTATATACAGCATTAGATATCTGTACGTGATCATAATAGCAAGGCCAGCAAGGCTCGAAAATGATAATCTCCTCATTTTAATTAGGATCTATCAAAGCAAGTAGAATTGAGCCAATTAAGGTGTATGCTCCTACTCCCACGATGACTTCAGTTAATGGATTTACCTCTCTTTTTATTTTTTTGCCATAGATTTCAGCAATTTTGTTTACTAATAGTGGTGAGCCCATAATTCTGATGTATTGATTGAAGCCCTCATGGATGGATTCAATCATTGCATCAACTAAAAATTGAGGAGGATTCATTCCAGGAGCTCCTTCACCTAGTGAAACACATTCATATTTTATGCTTACTTCCTTAAATTCTTCCCAAACAGCCATTGAATCATCAACTCTGTGAGGCAAAGTGACTTTATGATGTTCCATTATAGCTTCTGTTTTTAGTTTATATATGATTTATTAAAATTCAGATATAAGGTAAAGTATAAAGATCCAAAAAATAAGATTTTTATTTTGGTCGAAATTTGTTGAATTCTTACTTACGGGGTTTTGGGGTTTTGGGGTTTTGGGG